CATTGTATATATGGACCACATCTTTATCCATTCGTCAATTAAAGGGCATCTTGGCTCTTTCCACAGTTTGGCTATTGTGGACATTGCTGCTATGAACATTAGGGCGCATATGGACCTTCTTTTCACTACATCTGTATCTTTGGGGTAAATACCCAGTAGTGCAATTGCTGGGTCATAGGGTAGCTCTGTTTTTAATTTTTTTGAGGAACCGCCACACCATTTTCCAAAGTGGCTGTACCAACTTGCGTTCCCACCAACAGTGTAAGAGGGTTCCCCTTTCTCCATTCTTTCATTTTATTTTAAAAAATAATCTCAATATTTATCAAAGTCAAAAACGTCAAATAGTGGTAAAAGGATTTATTACAAAATGATCAGCACACCTTATGCCCTTGACAATTCCCAACTTCTCCCCACATTCTGCTACTTCAAGGTAACTGCTTTAAATATTTTGTCCCTGCTTTCTTGTATTCGCATTTAAATTTCCAAATAATATAAAGATAGTGCTATTTTTCAAGGCATTGACTTTATACAGGTTTAGAAGAACAGTAATCGCCTTCATGAAGGCTCCACCCTGGTGGCCTCATCAAATTCTAATCATCTCCCAAAGGTCCCACCTCTTAATACCTCACTCTGGGGAGTAGGGCTTCAACATGTGAATACTGGGGGATGAAAACATTTAATCCATACTAGTGTTGTCCTGGGACTTCCATTTAAAACCATCTGGGTGGTCCTGTTCTTTCACTGTGATAGCAATTTTTAGTCTGGAAACTCAGATATTTGATTTCTGAGATAATTTCTTTGATAATTTCCTTTCAACTATATATTTTTCTCTTTTCTCTTTCTGTAATTTCTAATCTTTTGTTGAAGCTCCCATACTGATCTAGGACTATTTTTTTCCTTATTTTACATCTTTCTTGTCTTTGGTTTACCTTCAGGGAAAATTCCTTAACTACATTTCCAACTGTTTTAATGAATTTTTAATTTCAGCTATCATATTTTTAATTTCCAAGAGTTATTTCTTACATCATTTTTTAAATATTAGTGTTCTTGTTTTAAGAATGCAATATCTTATCTCTCTGAGAATATTTTACAATTTCTTAAAGTTTTCTGTGTTCCTTGCATTTAACTGCTTCTTTTGGGCATTTTTAAAAAAAGTTTTGGGGCGCCTGGGTGGCTTG